GGGGGGGGGGGGTACTAGCCCGTAGGTCTATTCTGCCCACGTCAAAATAAGGGTGGCGACGGACCAGACAGTTACCCATAAATAATCCGAATTCCAGAATTCTACTGGCTTAACGAGGAACCACCCCTTCAACCCACCCCCCATAGATCCAAGCAACCCTTAGCCTCTGTCGCGCGTTTCCATAAACATTCCATATGTGTAAGGGATGTTTACGTTCGTTTGCCAGTATAAGAAAAAAAATGTATCTCCGGGCTAAATGGTCACCCTGTATATTAGGGGTCGTCGCGTGCCCGCTGAATAAAACGGGCTTTCCTATACTCGAATGCACTTGGAATGCACTCGTCCAGAGCCACATCTATCGCGAGGCCCTGAACCCCTCTGCGTACCGGAAAAGCATTAAGGGTGGTTCGTCCACTCACCCCTAATGGAACGAGAAATGACGCTTTACTGTCGGGCATTAAAAAATAAAAAGTTTTTATTCTCAGGACGCTCTGCGACTGCTGTCTTCTACGTATCGAGGGTGGTCTTGGGGTAGTAAATAGAAGGAGGGTAGGGATGCGGGGTGCAAATAAAATCTCATGAAACTACCCTTGCGCGAGAAATGCTGAAGCGTCACGCAAGGGTTGTAAACGGGACATGCAGCAGATAAGGGATGTTTTTTTTCTTCCTCGAGATCGGTGATTACTGTGACCTTTCGGTCGTAAAGCTTATAAAGGGTTGATTGGAAACTTTAAGGGATGGAACGTCCCCTGGATAATCGGACAGGGGTTGGAATTGATGTGAAATATTTTAAAGGGACTACCAAACTCAATTTTTTTTTTTCAAACGTACGAGACCGAATAAATGTTTGTGTATTTTGAAATTTATTATTTTTACCAGCCCCCTTGTCACCCTTAAATTTTAACCCTGCTCTCCAGTTGATATACGATTGCTGTTTGAACGATTTGTTCATGGAGTGCCTAACTAGACTTTCGTGATAAAATTTAAGTGATAAATGAACTCGGCCATTTTTATTTCGTATATATGACACTGTGGGCTCAGGCAATGGGGTGGAAATGTTTTCACGAGAAATTAAATAATATTGACAATTTTAATCAAGATATCGATACTGTCCTTGTCAATATAATTCGTAATGGTACAACGAAAGGTTCCACGGTATTAACGTGGGTGACAAGCACGACAAATATGTTTCATGAAATGTATGAAAAAAAATAAAGAGATAATTACCATTCACGAGTACAACAGCTAAGATAACATCGACTCATCGATACCTCGAATTGCATCTAAGGAATAAAAATGCAGAGGAAAGAGAAAAAGAAGAGACATTGCATCGTGAAATAGTTCCGCAAATAGTCACCAGTGAAGTACATAGACGCCGTAAGAGATGGCGCCACTAGCGGCCAGTCGGCCAATTGATTCAATATGGACGCGTATCGCGCGCATCGTAAATTTCGAAATTCATTTCGCACAACGACTCACCCTTAATGGATCGCGTACCAATTGACTTTGCTGATTCCAGTTTTATCCTATTGAGCCGATTATCATGCCTTTGATCTTGCCGCGCGTACAGTAGATCTCGTCAACGAGTCACCGAGTGGCCGTCATAACAAAGCGTGGATTTTGATTCTTGACAATGCGTCAATTACGATTGCGCCATGATATTAGAATGGGATAAATGGATGAAATGGATATGGACCAAAGGGGGAGAGAGATTGGAGACGATGATTATAGGAATATAGAATACACAGTATAGAATAAGGAATAAATTAATTGTCTGGAAAAGAATAGAAAAAAAAAAAATTGGAAAAAAAAATAAATAGTCTACTCGCATAAAGACTCGCGAAGAATGGAAAGGCGGAGGATGGTTTTCGGACGGACGGTGAAAACTTTCCGGGCTGAAAGATGATTTGGGAGTGAAGAGAAACGAGGGGGTGGTTCAAGGGGTAGTAGGAGGGGAGGGAATTCATTTCCCTAATGGACGAAGAAATATCTCGTCTAACGATGCTACTAACTAAACAACCCCTTACGCGAAATTCACATCTACCCTTACACTAGGCCACGTTCTACGTACACTGCTACGGTATCAACCACAATTGTAATAAGAGTCACGTCATCGTGTATTCCGGTATCATCGGTATAGGCGATTACATAAAAATGATACAAAAAATGTATAATTTTTTTTAATCCAAGTCATATCAAACTTTTGTTATTATTATTTATATTAATTACCACTGGCTTAATTGACGCTGAGCTACCATTGTAATTTGTACAGTTCACGTAGTCTGATAGCTTGCGCCTTGTACTTGGGATAATTCAGCGGGAAATTTGAATAACAAATTCTAGTTGGGGTCAGTGAAAATTTGAAAAAAAAATTTTTAACGTGTCACCCGTACGATCTGAGATTGCAAAATCGTTCGGTACCGTGGAAAATTCGAATATCTCAATATGAGTGGATTTAGGTAGACACAAGGGGTGGTTCCTATAAATATTGAAAGAGGCTTGGATCAACGCGCCCAGTGCAATCTGGTATATCGCGAAACCTTAGGGGATCAATCGCACCCTTATCTAACCTATAAATAAGACGGGGATAAAAAAATGGAAAAGAACAATCAGAAGGATCTATTGTAAAAATGATGGCTAAAAAATGATCCGATCCGAAACCACCCCTAAATATAAAGATGGTACAGGTGGCATTAGGATATTTTGCAATCACCAAATCCAAAACATACAATAGGGTTCGAAGAAAAAAAAATTAACCACCCTCGTCCCAATACAGGAATGACGAATCAGTAGTTTGGGGGTTGCAAAAAATTATTTTTTTTGTTTCCATTTAATTTTCCTCACCTAGAAACCAATAAAGAGTGAAGAACGAGCGAGAAGCCCAACGCTTGTATCTCTCAAGGGGTGGTTATCAATATCCACCCGTCACAAGGGTTGATAATAACAAACGTATTGCTCGAGGTATTTATTTCCGACAGTAAATTTATTACCGGTCCAGAGGGGGTGGAAAATATATTTTTAATATTTTTCTTTTCTTCCTTATATCCAGTCCAGTATCCGACGTCATGAAATTTCTCGGCATACAATAAGGGTTGGAATTTCTTCTTCCAGGTATACCTATCTCTTAGGGGTGGAAAACTGAGAAAACTATCGAGTAGTTATATCGCGAAAAGAAATTGCTTCCCACGTAACCAGCTTCTGGCTGGCGATAGATATAGATTGATCGTCCGGTGCTCCGGGCTATACAGGGGGTAGTAGATGAATCATCCGCGAGCGAATAGGGGTTGTCTTGGCTGGCGCGGTGTGCGGGGTGTTGCCGAGGTGAAATCGGATGAAAGGAAAAAAAAAAAAATTGGGGATGATAGATATTCGGTTATATCAAGGTACGACAGATACTTCCGGCTTAAAGACAGCTCGATGCAACCCCTATCCAAAGCTCCGTGACAATTGAGGGCTCCTGTCATTTAAGAGAATTCAATAGCTCGTACGGGTAAGATTGCTTTTATCAAGAATCTCTATATCCTGAGAAGTAGCTTGGGAAATGGAAGACGTCATTCGTATCCTGTACTGAATTAAAAATTTTTTTTTTTCAGCGCTATGAAATAAACATATTCACTATAGTATATTAGAATTAATGTATAGAGCGTTTTCCAAAATTGAATTTATTTTTGGGATTTATCCAGCTGATTCCAAAAAAAATGATCAAAAACGATCCTATGTGAAAACTAGAATTTATGCCGAAAAATATGGTTATATTTTTGGTTTCCGTTGTCAATATTTTTTCGAAATGGATTATTGGACATTTTCTTGTTCACGATAATAGACAATGTTATATTTCGAGATTTGGTATATATTAGTATATCAGATTGATGTATTATACAAGTTCGCTAAGGATTTTAGGCGTGGGAGATAAAAAGTAAAAAAAAATAGTATTTTCGATCGCCCGACAAATGAAGTACGCTTCGAGAATGCGATTCTTTTATTTTTCCCAAATTCACAGATCGAAACGTAACTTCAGTTCGTAGGATACGTTGAACGGTGCGTCAGATATTTTCGAAAAATTGCTTAGACGTAAAAATTTTGAAATTTTTTTCTTTTAAATCCAAGTACTTTCACAAAACGAAAAAGAATACGAATAAAAAATGCCGTGCAAGTGCGATCCGTCCAGAAAGTACGAAAAGGAATGCGGCTGTAGACGTTCACCGGGTGGCCACCCCTCCGCAGCAGTAAACTGCGCAAAATGTCTAGGGTAAGAAAGTACAGAAAGAAAATGTAGGATAAAATGCAAAAAATATTCTTTTCCAAAATACATCTTAGAGATTAACGAACAAAAATTGCTCTTAAAAAAATGACGAATGTGGCACGGGAATTTCCGTACGAGTCAGGAAGATCCCCAAAGAAGGTTAGGTTGTGTTGGGCACGTTAAATCTAATTTGCGAGACGAGGGAGCTTTTACGAGAAAAATAATGAAAAAAACAGAAGCCAAAAAGAAACCCGTAAGGGAATGTCTAAGAATTTTTGTTTGTGCAGCCCCAAAGCCCAGAAGTACATTCCGCAGATTCCAGCAGCGAGCAGAGAAGAGAGGTCAGAAAGGGTTGATATAAGGGATGATATAAGAAGGCCGTGTGTGTCCATGGTGTCCCGTAAAAGGGCACCCTGCGCCCGTCCCATATCACAGCGTACCCGAAAGAGTACCTGCCCTGCCCAAAAATCAGAGCAACCCCCGAAGCTACTACCCCCCTGCATGTGAGGACTCAATAATCTAAAGGAAATGCCAAAGTGGCAAGTGGTTAAAGGGAGTAAGGGTTAAGAGGGGAAATTCCGTGGAGAATTTTGTAAAGTCTTGCGAAATATCTTTATCAGGAAAAGCGACAAGAGGGAAAGGCCTAGGCCTGAAAAAAAAATTAAAAAAAAATCCTCAAGTCCGAGGGACGTTGTTTGCGTCGGCGGAAAAGTTGTCAAGGTACCGTGTGGCGTAGCAAATGTTGAAGAGGACACTGACGCACCCTGCGATGAAGCTAACCGTAAAATTTACGCAATGGAAAAGACAGTGAGACCATCGATCACGTGTTTATGATAACGAACTTTTGAGATAAAACATCGGAAATATAACATTTTTTTTTTTAATTTTTTGCGCAAAAATGTTATCAAAATTTTTGTTACAGTTAAGCAAGACTCGATGGGAGGATGAGGAAGGTCATCACATGACTACTGTAACAATGGGTCAGATTTATCAACCGGATGGACGTGAGTACTTTTTCGTTATATGGAGAAAATTTTATTGTAACAAAAATTATAATTATTTAATTCTCTTATCACTCTCGTATTATCGCGCGATATACCGGAAGCTAATGATCCGTTTGAAAAATAAAAAGTCACGTGTCCCAAACTAAGCAGGGAAACATTTTCTAAGGAGTTCACGGTCGGTGGGGCTTAACGGTTAAAGTCTTCGTCATCGATTTCAAGAAAATGTGAATTTTCGATGGAAAACTTACCGCGGCGATATCGCGAAGGAACTTTTGTCACTGATAGATGTACCTCTGCTTTCTAGCCGAGACTGCCTATAAATCGTTTCACGTTCGACTTCCTTTTGTAATGGTTGGATCTCTGGGGAGAGTTCGATTCTTCATTCTCATTTTTCATTTCAAATTTTTTTTTCACTTACGAGTCTCCAAACGGCGACTGCACCGGTGAACAGAGTATATTTTTTTTTAAACGGTAAGAAAAATTACAAAAAAAATTGTCCTTCGCTGATACGATCTTTGTTTGAAAATTGTTTTAAAAAAGATATATATACATATGTATATGTATAAGCATATGAGGTAAATTTACGTGAAAATGGGAAAACTTTGAAGTTTAACGTTTCTAAAGATTTTTCTTTGGTGAACGAGAGCAGAAGGAGGAGGAAGGACCTGCGCGAGCGACAAGCGTCGAAATTATCTAAAGGCAAAGCTGAGGGAACTGGTCGGCGAGTCGCAGCCAATACCGGAAGTTCTGCCCGAGGGTGTAGAGTCGAAGCCAGAACCGGAAGTCGTGGCAGCCGCGCTCCTCATGTCGGAGAGCGAAGGAAGCGACCTGAGCAAAGCGAAACCGGGAAATATATTTCACAAATTATTTTACGATCAGGCGACTGACAAATCTGTGGGTAAGAATTATTTTTCACGATATTTAATATCTGTATATATATTTTTTTTCAAATTTTATAAATTTTCATAGCAATCGCCAGTGCCGTACCGGAACCCATGAGCGACATGGTGGTACCGGTGAGGGTGCAGGGAAATCAGGCAGTCACCCTGGACATTCCGAATATTCAAAGAATCGTTAAAAAAGCCGGCAACGCCTCAGTACCAAATCCAAATTTGTTTTTGATATCTACGGCACTCGAAAAAATTCCGGAGGCGTCCGAACGTTCGCCGGACGCTGTGTCTCAGTAAGTTGACAGATTGATGATTTTTCAAAAATGTTATATTTTTCATTATATATCGTATGATAATTATGAGACAAAGTAAAATAAATATAGTGATTAGCAGTAACGTGAAAAAAAAATATTTAAAAACATTTCTCTTCATAATTCTCATAATCGTATTGAAATACAAGGGGAATCCCCGTCGTATGTAAAATATACATATATATATGACGCGTGTCTAGATTCATCGGAGTGACGTCACAAGGAAAATCCAATGGCGCAGAATCACAAGACCTAATAACTGAATACGTAATCCGACCAGAGCCACCAGCTTACAGAAACAGATGCCAACTGAACGGCTCCGTCAGACCCAGCTGGTTCCCTGGATTCGTCGTGGTTTCGCCGAGTCTCCCAGGACACGTCAGACTCAGCGCAGATCCGGGAGAGGCGCTGCGGGACGCCTGGCGACTGTGCCGTCCGCATCACTTTGACGAACTTTCAAAATCCCTAGTGAACACTGGTTAATCGGGAAAGAATTTTTTCTCAGTAAAAAAAAAATCAGGTTTGCTAACCACCAAACGTTGAAAATTTAAGTTTTCGGACAAGGTTGACCCTGTTAAAAATGGCGGATGCACATATACAGTTTGAAAAGCAATGACCAACCGGTTTACCTGACTTTCAAAATAATTCTACAGCTGGACGCTTCAACGATTTGGGGCTGTTTTATCTAGCGGGCAAAAGAGGACGCTGGCTGAGATTCAACGAAAGGTAAGGGCTGGAAACTTAACGAAATCTGTGTGTACTGTAGCGCTCCCCAATTTGGCACGCTTGTCCAGCCGGAAGCTATCGGATCTGTTGAGAGCAGAAACGGGATGGCGGGAGAATTCGAAGTGGATAGTTATTTTGCTCGGAGTTAAACCGTAACTGTGTTTGTACGTGTCTAGGGGTCGGAAAGAGGGTAGTTAAAGGTTCCAGCAAGAGGGCTAACAGGTCGCTCCGTATCCGGTAGCGATGAACAAAGGACTCGAAAAAAATGTTGAAACAAAGATTTAGCCAAATGACAAAAATATTTTCGTTAATTCAAACATTTGATGACACGTCAATATTTTCAATTAAAAATGCATTAGACGAATTTTTCGAAAATTTTTCTTGCAACATTTAACGGCATCGTTCGACGTTGAAATTTGTATTTCATATTTTTTTTTGACAGTCTGGATCAAAATTGCTTATCTAAAAATAACCCAGGAGCTGTGGCAACGTCTAGTTCGCAGATCTCGAGCTGGAAACTCAAGGGATGATCCTGATCGGTTCTACCCCAATGGCGCTCTCAGTTCTAGTGAGATAATCAGACTCGGGTGGTAGTACGTGCTACGGTTGGGGTTGTATTTATTTCTAGAGGGTGAAAGAGCCCTCCGTGAAAATAAACAAGAACCAGCAAAGATACGGGGGTAGTCTTCCGCGAAATAGCCTGGACTTAAGCTCGTGTAAAATTTTCGAATTTTCGCGCAGACACGGTAACTACCCCATGGATATACCTACGCAAGGAGTTTCAGGTAGTGTTTGCCCACCAGGAAATCTTACCAAGTAAATAGAATTCTTCATCCTCTGTACTTAGCCAGCGAAAGAAAAACAAGCCTGGGAGGTTTATGCCAGCGTACACACTATAGAGATAAGTAGTACAGGGGTTGAAATTGCACGTCCGTCAGAACCTACAGAATGCAGTAAATGCACTATTTACTGTATCAAAAGTAACCTGTATTTGCCACGAGACTCGACCGAGTCTCTTGATCCCCTATCAAAATAATTTAAAGACTTTCAAAATAGGACATCGTACGTAAATCATCAGCGGGACTCGATATTATTAATAACAATAAAAAGAATATTTACGATCATAAATCGTTACACGTAATAATAACAATAATAACGATAAAAGAATTGGATTTTTTCTATAAGGGTGACTGTACCGACAGTTACAAGAATCGAAAAAGGATAATAAATTGGATTCAATGTATAGGGTAGTAAGAAAAATATATATATACACACATATATAGGGTGACAAGGACTATAAGGGATCATTGGAAGAAAGTAAAAATCTATGCAAGTGCCGCCACCACCCGGGATTTCAGGAAAACAAATGGCGCTGGACTTTCTTTTGTCTTTGGGACTAAGGGGTGGAACTTTTTTTTTACTTTCATCCCCTTGACAAATCGGCAGGGAGAATCGAACGATCCCGACAACTCGGTGAGTTTCCACCCTCTAACCGGAATCTACCACCCCTGAGGGTGACCGGCCATCAGTCACCCCTGGGCTCAACCCCATAAGAAAAATCTATTAGCCTGGAGAATGCTTCCCGAATTTATGAGGTAATAAAACGAAAAGTTCCTGTCCGGACTGCCAGCCATCGGCCTCGTCGAAGCATCTCGAATCAGCCCTTGGCAATGACAATTAGGAATCACTCTTCCCACCCCTCCCGAAAGAGCATTCCTTCATCCCTTAAGGGTCCAGAAGAAGTCCTTGGCGAAGCATCCGCGTGCGAAAGATAACAAACTCCACGAAAACCACTGGAACATACGAAAACTGAGGGTAGGCACTTCGCGAAGCGTACTTTTTTTTGCATACAAAGATCCCTCAAAAAGTTTCATCCCTTAAAAAAAAATGATGCGTATATCATTTAATTTTGGTTTATCTTCGAATCAAAGTCTGCCGTCAGGGGATGAGTACGATGTACCCGGTGTACCGTGCTACGAATTTCACAATGCGAATAAGGGATGAAAGATGAAAATATTTTTTTCGTAAGCTCAAACCAAAATTTTTCAACTAAAGGACGATCGCGAACAATGACACTCGTGATACTTGATTTTGCTTGAGATCGACGGGAAATAAAAAGAAAAAAAAAGCCACATTCAATGGAGCATCAAAATGGACAGACCGAATGAAGCCAAATGAAATTCAATTTGGAATCGCAAAGTCGAAAGGAAGTAACACGGCGGGATGAACGATGAGCGCGGAAATCCTTGCGATAATTACGGCAACGGAAACGTTGATGGATGGAAACGAGATTCCGTCGTCGACGTCGTTTCTTTTCCGAGCCGAATTTCTCGTCACGTTCTTTCGAGCTTCCCAAGGTCCAAAGCACTGCTTTTCCACCCTTAAGCTTGAAAACTACAAGTCCTTATTTTTATATTCTATTCTCTTCCTTCCCGCCCTTACTTTTTTTTTAAATCCATTCTTCGTCCCTCCGACCATCCGACTCTCCATATTTCCCTCTAACGACACTGTGCTTCTGTCAGACTGACTTCCATCGTACCTCCCACCTCCCCCCGGGACGCCGAAAATTCGACGAAGACGGTCCCCCGTTTTACGTAAATTTTCCGAGAGCTGTCCTAATCGTGAGCGACTACAGCGTCACAGGGGCGTAGAGTTGGGAGGGGGCGGGAGGGGCGGAGGGGGGTTCCGAGTGGCTGACACGTGAAATTTATCAGGCAGCCGTATTTTCTTTTCTTCACAATTTATAAGAATTATCCACGAGTCATTAATTCAATCCTCCGACCACCCCCCCTCCCCCACCCCCTTCAACCCCTATTTACATCCCTCATATTCTCTCTTTTTAGTCCATCGACCATCTCCCATCCCATACTCTCTCAGGAAGCAGGGACACGTGAGCCCCACCTCACGCACTCGAGGCATTCACCCCCCTCCCCCCCTACTCCCCCACGCCCAGTCATCCTCTTTAGCGTGCGCCTAAAGCAAGAGGCTTGAAATGCTATGGCGAATTCGTTAGAGAATTTTACGGGGCTTCTCACGCCATTTCACAGACAAAGGAATTCAAGCAAGAGTCCCGGGGCTTTATTTCAGCTCCTAGAGGTCAGGGGACTCCTTTTTTTTGCTACCGTGGCGCCATCTTTCTTTTCTCCTTTGTTCTCGACTTCACCTCCCTCTTCCCGTTGCCTCTGCCGCAGCTCGAAGTAATCACGAAGAAAGTTAGTCGGCATCATTGAAATATACATGCATATACATAAGCGCATTAACGCAGGGGTGGGTCCTGTCAAAAATAATATTTACAGCAGTAAGCAATTTTATTTATTTTTCACGGTACGTGATAAACTTTATGTTACAATAAATTTGAATTAAAATCAAAAATACATTGTACATAGGCAGCTGACGATATACGTCTCTTGTCAGCGAGTAAAGTGTGCTTTTTAGCGAGGGCCACCTCTTTATGGCTTTCAGGGCGAAAGAGTCCCCTAGATCTCGTTTGACTATGAATGATCCATGACCGAGAGTGCGAAAACTCGAAGAAAGATTTTTCAAGATTTCCGCTTATTTAAGGAGGACAATAATCACGTCACGACAATAATCCGTCATAAAATCCTGGCTAGGTGTTGGCCGGTTGGCCGCGTGTAAAAAAAATAGATAACAGTAGCAGTTAACACGTGCTGTATAAATGTCGGTCAGGGGTTAATAAACGTTCGCCGATATTAAACGCTTTATGTGCCGAGTCAAGGGCGAAAGAGTCGACGCAGGGGTTGCTAGAGAAAAAGAATGTATTAAAAAAAAAAAGAAAGAAAAAAATACAAGTTCAGAGTTCCTGCCACGGGTACAAAATATAAGAAAAGCCGAACAACCCCCAATTTTCTCGGATTTAAATGGAAATTCCAACCGGAAACTTTTTAAGGGATGTTTTCGTTAATTTTGACTTTAATGAAATCCATGAATTTTTTCCGATAAAGTCAACGAAAACAAAGTCGACCCCGAGTATATCGCGAAGAAGGAGCGGAGGGAGGGGGAGGGGTGTAAAAAATACTCAAATCATCCCTTAGACAAAAGCCGATCGAACCCGAACAAAGCCGAACAATTTCATTACGGGATTATTGGATACGCAATAGTAACCCAGTGCTCGTGCTCTTCGGGTCCTGGGATGAACTTAAGGGGGTAGTTTTGGGGTGGAAGTAGTTCCATTCGCCAAGGGTTGTAAGGTAGCGTGCAATATACTAGGGGCATTGTTCGAAAGCTTAAAGAGCGCAGAGGGGAGGAAGTTCTGTTGGCCTGGGATACACGTGACGCAAGGCCAGGGGTTGCTGGAAGTAACTAGGGGTTGATTTTCTGTGCGAATGTTGCCAGGGGTAGTAGTGTGGCACAGGGAACCACAGAATGAGCAGAGTGGTATAGGGGTGGAATGATGCTCTCAGCTGACAAATGGTTCTGTTTACAATAGTCTCGAACCAACCCCTATACACGAAAACCAGTAATCGCGCACCACCCACCCACCCCCACCCGCCGCTTGCTCGGATACGTGTGCGTGATATACATATACGTATATATAAAACAGAAAATTCACCGGCCGCAGGACTGAAACCAGCCAGAAGCGACTGGCACGAAAACATCCCTTAATTCCATTGCAACCCCGTTGCACCCTTCATCAGCGAAATAACTGACAGCAATATAGGGGTGAAACTGCCCCGCAGATTATCCCAACTCACTTTTTCCCTTTATCCTTCCAGCACGATTTTTCGTCATCTCCTTTCATCCCTTATGACTGTGCCATTGCGTCTAAATGAAATTTGACGCTTTCATCCCCTAATTGATCCACGTGTCGTAGACGTTTCGAACGAATTGACCTATCAGCGCGATAGTCGGTAAAGTATTATCGGTAAT